AACACAAGCTAATTTTCATTTTTGGGTGAACTAACCCTTTAAGAGAAGAAAATCACCCACTTTCAAAGCTGCTACATAGTAACAACTTTCTACTTCGAGAACCTTGATAGAAATGTAGTGGAGTGAAAAGTACGCATCACGTTCTTCTTCTGAGGTAAATACAAGGCTAATTCCTCACAGCGCGTCCTCTTCCAAAAATGAAAAGTAGCCTAGATGAACTTGAATCTTGCTGCTTTGTTTATGGAGGTGATGTGGGCGTTTACAGGTTTGCGTGGCACACGTGGCACAATAGCTTGAATGAATATGGCATGAATAGTGCCGCTGCGCGTGGGTGTGACCACCACATTACCGATTATGAGCTCAGACGGGAAAGACTGGACCTCGCGTTGGTCTCATACAGATTATTTTAGCAGAGAATATTATATACACTGAGTTCTGTATGTATTGCAGGTGCTTAATAGATTTTGCAGGTAGGCCAATATAAAGGGCATTACAATAATCAACCCTAGAGGTAACAAAAACATGAACAAGCCTTTCAGCATCAGGTAGTGAAAGAAAAGGCCTAAACCTGGCAATATTCCTGAGATGAAAAAAATGCAGATTTTGAAATGCTCTCGATATGTGCGTCCAGTGTCAAGTGAGAATCAAAAACAACACTAAGATTACGAACTTGAGAAGATAGAAATATTACACCATTATCAAGATGCAAACTGAAATTTCTACCATTGCTGGCAGGTGCAGGGGTACCAACGAGAAGGACTCTGAATTGGTCCCATTCAATTTAAGGAAATTGTGGTACATCCATCATTTCATTTCCTGCAAACAGTCAGAGTGTTGCCGAGATACCTGTAATATTAGTTTTCGTGTTAATATAAATTTGGGTATCATCAGCATAGAAGTGAAACCCCAAACCATGCTTTCTAATAATCTGCCCTAGAGGAAGCATGTAAATACTAAAGAATATAGGGCCTAGGACAGACCCCTCGGGTACACCGTGACAGACATTTCTGACGTTAGATTTGTTGTTACCTAAAACAACAATCTGGGAACGATCAGTAAGGTAAGATTTAAACCACTCTAGCACTGTACCGGAGATACCAAGCCAAGTCTCCAGTCTCTCAATCAGTATAGAGTGACACACTGTATCAAAGGCTGCACTCAAATCTAACAGCACCAGGATAGTAAGGGCACCAGAGTCAGCAGAGACAAGGAGATCATTCATGACTCGAACCAAGGCAGTCTCCAGATCGAAACCCAGAGTGAAAAGATTCTAAGAGCTTGTTCAGGGACAAGTGAGAATGAAGTTGCGAAACGACAACACGTTCCAGAAACAAAAAAAGGAAGATTAGATATTGGCCTGTAGTTTGATAGGACAGACATATCACACCCAGGCTTTTTGAGCACTGGTGTGATGGCAGCAACCTTAAGGGCTTGGGGAACAGATCCAGTAATAAGGGAGGTGTTGACAACGTTCAAAATGAGAGGACTGATAGATGACAGAGACTCTTTGAGAACAAAAGTTGGAATAGGGTCCAAATACACGTAGTTGAATTCATTGTCATAATGAATTTATGACTGTATTCAATGGTGACTGTATTAAAACTAGAAAACAAATTAGAAGGAAAGTTTGAAGGATACAGTGGGTGCGGAAAGTATTCAGACCCCCTTAAATTTTTCACTCTTTGTTATATTGCAGCCATTTGCTAAAATCATTTAAGTTAATTTGCTGTGTGTACATTAATGAGGAAAAAAAATTAACTTAAATGATTTTAGCAAATGGCTGCAATATAACAAAGAGTGAAAAATTTAAGGGGGTCTGAATACTTTCCGTACCCACTGTAAATCCCAGGAGGTGCACACAGAGAGACAGAACTAAATGGACTAATAAATATTCTCAATTTTTTCTGTAAAGACTTTCAGAAACGTATTGCACTGCTGTACAGAGGAACAAGTAGGTGAGTTGGTTGGTTTAAGGAGTTTGTTTATTAATGGATTTTAATAAATCAATAAATTTCCAGTACCATCATTTATGACTTGTGAGTAGTATTCAGTTCTTGCTATCTTGAGGGCTTCATTGTACTAAACTAAGTGCTCATTGTACATAAGTTAATGGACAATAAGAGATGATTTTTTTATACTGCCATTCAAGCTGCCTGTTCTTAGCTTTGAGAGCCCTAATCTCTGTAGTAAACCAGGGTGATGATTTTGTGAGTGAGACAGCATGTCTAAAGTTGATGAGAAAATTAAATTATATTGGTCAACAGTATTACCTGTAGAAATATCATTGATCATGCGCGGATAGTGATTATGATCAATATTTTTAAGATTTCTAAAACTAATAACCCTTTTTAGTGACTTTTGTAAGGGAACAGAAAGATTAAAACTCAAGAGCCTATGATCACTAATGCACAAATCTTTGCCCTCAAGCTGATTAATATCAACACCAGCTGTACACGACAAATCAAGTGTATGACCTTTTCTATGAGTAGGAAATTTGACATGTTGGATCAAGTTAAAACAATCCAAAATCTCCATAAATTTTGCAGTATGATTACAACTAGGATTATCAACATGAATATTAATATCTCCAATAATAATCATAGATGTACAGAGAGAATTAATAGATGCAAGTAGCAATGTGAGTTCATCAAAAAACAGAGGGTTGAGTTTTGGTTTTATAATGATTGACTGGCGAGTAAACTAAAAAATTTACTAGCCAATGCCGATTCTGTTGCCAAGGTGTGCGTAGAGGGTTGATTTACAGAATCTAGGAATACCTGTAGATTAAAATAAGGGGTTGGCCTAGGGCTTTTTTTTTATACCTGAATACAGCTTGGTAATGGAAGCAAATTCTGTAAACCAGAGGCTGTTTTCTGTAGTCTTCTTGAAACACATGCTGTGGATGTTAGATGCAGGTTCCCTGTGTGCAAGTGCTTGCCCTCCTCTGAGCCTGCAATTATCTGAGAAAAGGGCATTTTCACATAAGACTGACATTTATGTGGATTTATAATAAATATGTCATTAAATGCCTTCAGGGGTAATAAAAAAAAAAAAAGAAAAGTGGACTGACATCCTCACCACTTTCAAAATTACGAGTTTGCTGCACTAATAATTAGAGCCCGACTGATATGGGTTTTCTTGGACCGATACCGATATTAGGGAGTAAAAATACCGATATATCGGCCGATATTCTTTGTGTATATTATAGTACAGTACCAGTCAAAAGTTTGGACACTTTCCCATTCATGTGTCCAAACATTGGTTCCTTGAGCTGAAGAGATCCCCCGAATTTGGTGCGGATTATGGAGATATGGAGATATGGCCGCTCAAAGTTTCAATGGTTTTCCATTGACTTAAGCTTTTAAGCGTTTCATCCAGGTCGCCAGTAGCAAACAATGGAGCGCGCTCTGCTGGACAAACTAAGTAATTACACCATTTCAAGCATTTTATCTGCATTATATGTTCTGTAAAAAAAATGTTCATATCGGCGGCATATTCGCCGATACCGATATATCGGCGACAGGCTCATATCGGCCGATAATATCGGCAAAACGATATATCGGTCGGGCTCTACTAATAATATTTGTACCTAATATAAATGTAATTATCAAAGGTACCTGTACCTATTTTTTGGTTGTTAAATTTGAATTTGTCTGCAAAATCCAATTGGCTCAGAAATCGGAGGGGCATGAGTTTCTGGGATTATTAGTTTTATTTACTCATTTTTAACTTCTTATGTTATTTATGAAAAGTTACTATAATTCATAAAGGAAGTACACTTCATGCAAATCTGTTAACATCTCAAAAAATGTAATTTAGTGTTTCATGACCATTAAAATGTCACGTTTAAAATGCTCACTAGGTTTTGATACAGAGCATGAATCTTTAAATTGTACTAAACACTTGTACGGAGGACTTCATACAGTTTCTTTCATTCTCTGTTAGATTGTTGTGTCAGTGTGGTCTGGATGTGAGTGCTAAGGACTTTGATGGCTGGACTCCTCTCCATGCTGCGGCTCACTGGGGTCAAAGTGAAGCCTGCCGTCTGCTCGCTGAGCAACTGTGTGACATGGAGGCCCACAGTAACGGGGTGAGTGAGAGAGATAGAAAAAAAAAGTGCTAAACATTTAGCAGCAAATTCTGTTGGCCAGTAACTGTTGCCTATGAGAAACAAAGCTGTCTTCCTTAGGCAGGTTTTGACCAGCCTTAAAAGAATGGTTCACCCAAAAATGAGAATTCTAAACCAGTATGACTTTCTTCTGTGTAACATAAGATAATTTGTGAATGTCTCAGTGTTTTCATGGAAGTCAACATTCTTCACAATACCTTCCTTTGTTTCCGCATAAGAAAATAAGTCATACAGTTTTGGAACAACATGAGAGTGAGTAAATGATGACAGAATTGTCAATATCAGGTGAACTAGCCCTTTAAAAGCCAAACCATCCATTGATCCCCATTTCTATTTCAGGACAATTTTATCTGCTTTTATCTATTCCTATTTCTATGTGTTATAATCATTTGATTCTGGAAAAAAATACAGGGTAAATATTAGATCTGTATTGACATCAAGAAATATGGTAGCAATAGCCAATATACTGTAATCCTAAATAAAATAAATGTACTGTATTTCTAAATAGGAAAGGTAAAGCAAACGTTAAGGCCTGATATGTAGGAGTAATAACTGCACAGCAGGAGTCATGCACTCTTAAAGGAAGAGGAAGTGTGGAGCTTCTGTTCTGTGTCAAAATGCACCAGAGTTCTGCAGCCAGCAGCAGCACTGCAGTTAGCCATAGTTCTGTTTCACAATGTGTGTGGGGGTGGGTGTGTGTGGGTGCATGCATGTTTGTGAAATTATCATAACTGAAACTGTTGTTTTTTTGTTTGTTTTTAAGTGTCAGACTCCATTTGATGTGGCGGATGAGAGTGTTGTGTCTTTACTGGAAGAACTGTCTCGAAGACAAGCTAATGTGAGAACATACACACCTCTATCTAAATCTGTCATTTTAGACACAAAAGGAAGAAATTCACAGCTTACTGTATGTAATATAGCAGGCCTATTTAACCAGTGGACATTTTGAAAAGGTTGTCAGTTATTTCTCATAGACTACTTTTATTAGTGTGAAAAAAATTATAATTGCACTATTATTTGCTGAAAGAGACTAATACCTCAATTTGTTTTTGTGACATCAATCACAAAAAAAAAAATTCTAAAGTGAGCTTTTTGTCTTACCAAGTGCTATTCTTTCTTTTTCTTTGCTTTTGCAATATGAAAGAGAATAGACACTTGCAGCCTTGAAATCTGTTCAACTGAACAATATCCACAGAATTCTTCTACTGGACTACTCATCTGTCTTCACTCATATTGCTCTCCCCGGCCATCATGAAATACTCTACTTTTCCTCTCTTGTAATTTATATTTGCATCATTTACTAGGACAGGAAAGCATTTTTAATAGAGTGCTGCAGAAATTATGTATTTTTGTAGGCCATCCCGAAAGTTACCATCACCCTGGTTCCCTTGGCTTGACAAAAACTGAATAGGGTTTTTCCATTGACTTTTGGATCATTGCAGAAAATAAGCTCTGTGAACAACAAAAGTTTATGATTCTTAGATGTTTTGTTCATCATGAACATTATGTTGATAATGTTCTTCTCAAATGACACAACTTTTATGAATGTTGAAGCCAAAAAAATATTTGGGTATTTACAAACGCTAAACATAGGCTATGAGCGAACTACACCACAGTCACATGATTCAACGTCACCATCACTAAGCATCCCACAACTCTTTCAGTCTGTATTTAAAAAAAACATTTTCTCTGAAAGATTTAGTTCGAATAGTTTGCATAAGTGTGATTAATAACCCAACGAGGCTGTGAAAAGCAGAGTAGTCAGTAGATGAGTTTTCATGTTTGGTGTGATGATGTTTAACAACCTCTCAACCGACAACCTCTGTATTCCCATTTTTCAAGACAAGTAAAAGCTTTAAAAAAAATTATAAGGGGGTGTAACTGATGTACTTTGTTTTAGAATAAAACTTATAAAGACCTTATTTCAGGCATTTAACCAAAAACCCATTTAAAAAACCCATTGACTTTGGGACGAATTAACTGGAAGTACTAAAATACTAACGTTTCCAGGTTTTGGCCTACAAAAATACATCATCCATCCAGTACACTATTATCTGTCCATGTTTGCTAAAGTTCATAATATGAAGCAAATTAAATGTTTAACACATGAATACACGCACTCTCAGGAAAATTTTTTACAAAACTGTGACCGTGTATGTATGTACACTTTAGGTGCTAATTAGGGATGCACCGATGTATCGGCCGCCGATATTTATCGGCCGATTTTTCCTCAATTTACAACCATCAGCATATCGGCTATAGCCTATAAGGAAAAAGGCCGATATAACAAACCGATGGTTTATTAATTAACTGCATGAAGGCACTGAGCTGTATAACGTCTGTTGCATAATCCTAGCACTGCTGTCTGCACTTTAATGCTAATCAAATAACAAAAGACAAAAGATCGCACACTAACTTTTACTCTTGACTAAATAACTTTTGTAACTTTCATAAGTGTAGCGGACCTCATCTGAATGATGACCAAAACTTTACTGATGTTTTATTAAGTTTATTGCGTCCTTTTTCACTCCAAAAAAATCACCATAAGAGCTAAACAAAACACAGCACGAGAAGTGCACATTAAACTCTCTCAGTTGCATTATCATCAACATACAGCGAATTACACAAAACACTTATTACAACTAACAGTAAACAAATATATACAGATCTCATGCCTTTTCGGAGGGGGTGCTTAATAAACTGCCGAAGAACTGCTGCTTTCATTACACTTATAGCTCCGTAGACTAGAAAACCCTTCAAAATAAGAGTCCCGCCTTAGTAAGGGAGATCTCATACATGTTTAAACTTACAAAAAATATTAAAATGTATACAAAAACAAATTAGAAGATTAATCATAATAAAGTCTGTTACAATAAAGAAGGATTAATATGTATTTAATTTATACAGTGAAGTGTTATTTTACATTTGTTAAACCTACCTAAAAATCACTGTTTATTTAATATGTATCTTTGTTCTGTTGTATTTATGTAGGCCTATTAAATTTTAAATGGATCCAATCCATGTTCATTAGAAATTATTTGATGATGCAGCAATAAAACTGCTAGTATAATTTAATCCAGGTGTTTTTGAACTTTCCTGATTTAAAACATAATCAAAATACTATCTATTTTGATGCCAAAATTTCAAATAAGAGAGGAAGGGACAAATATCGGTATCTGAATCGGCCAATAAGTGTTTGTTAAAATCGGTATCGGCCCCAAAAAATCCTATCGGTGCATCCCTAGTGCTAATATGTACTTTTAAAGCACTATGTACATTTAAGGTAGTAATATAAACCATTTAGGAATAAATAAGGTACAAAATGTACCATTTAGCTTTTGTACTGTAGGGTACCACCCTATTGACAGCTTTGTAACTTTCTTCTTGATACTGCAAGGAACTTATTTAAGATGTATATATATATATATATATTTCTATCCTTAAAAACCAACTGCATTAATGTGTTAACTTATTAATTAATCTATTGTCAACTGTAATTTTATTCAATGAGTCATATGAGGCTGTTTATTTGTTGATTAGATGGTTTTGTACCAAAGACAAAATGTTGGTCCCCTAATGAAATGTCATTCATTGAACTCACTGCTATAGCGTTTAAACTATTAATCAGAACATTAATTAAATCTGGTCTATTTAGATCCATTATAAATGAAGTGTGATGATTATATACATTTTTGCATATGTTTATTTTAGTGGAGGACTGAACTTATTGAGCAACAAAATTCACAGATCTCAAATGCCAACACTGCAAACAAGAAACGCAGGTGAGAAAGATAAGTCTTTCAGTCTTTGCAGTCACGGACCTCTTCACTCATGTCTCTCTCTCTCTCTCTCTCTCTCTCTCTCTCTCTCTCTCTCTCCCTCTCTCT